TGAGAGGTGGAGAGAGAGAGAGACACAGGCAGAGGGAGAAGCAGGCTCCATGCAGGGACCCGACGCGGAACTCGATCCTGGGACTCCAGGATCATGCCCTGGGCCGAAGGCGGCACTAAACTGCTGAGCCACTGGGGCTGCCCTAATATGTTGAATTTTATATCCTTTAGCAATTACCCTAAATGGCCTTGGGCCGAAAAAAATGTCCTTCTTAAAAAGTCAGGATGTTACCATCCTGGCTTAATTGGGTATAACTGTATTGACTTTAGATCGTTGGATTTTGAGATTTGGTTTTCCGAGAGCACCTCTGGAGAAAGAAGCAACTTGCCTGTCCACTGGGGAGGGAGCCCCTGCACTCCCCACTTTCCCTCGATCCCCTCAGTTAATCGGGAATTCCACCGAAGCTGAAAATGAAAGTTGTTCTGAATAACTGCTGGCTTCGCTTCATTCCAAATTTGGGCTTTGCCCTTCGAGTCCAGGGGCTCCAGGGCCGTGGACGCCTTAGCTGCGACTGCTTAAGGGCCATCTGCTCCGGAGGACGCGGCTGTTCCAAGGCCACTGAGTTGTGGCTTCTGGAAGTCGGGGGAAGTCCGCTCTCCCCAACCAGGATGTGGTGTAGGAGGAGCCGCTCAGCCCCATAGTGACGGGAGGCAGAGGTCACGGCAGGTCCCGGGGCAGGTCCCGGGGCAGCGTCGCCTCAATGGCCGGTGAGCTGTGGGGCTCTCCCCGACAGCGCAGGAGACCCGCGGGCCACCCCTTCTCTGGAGAGAGGACTTACTAGCTCTCCTCCAGGGCCCAAGCACCTTGCTGGCCCCGTCCTAGGCTACCCGCCACCCCTGATCCCCCCCGGACCCCACTCCTCCCGGCCCCGATGCTCGAGCCTCTCGGTGCCCCCGAGCATACCCCCTCCAGAGAGCCGCTGTGACTCCTACTCCAGCCACGCCAGTTCTCTCTAACCTACAGAACCACAAAATACTTGAGCTGCTGAGCCCTCACTACCCTAGATTCATATTTATTTTCCGGCTCCCCTACTTGACTATCGCTACCTTGGTAAACAGGACCCGTTTTCCTTCATCCCACACAACTCCCGGCACAACAATCAAAGGAGGCGCTGAGTAATTTTATTTATAAATATAATAACTTGCATAAAAATAAACTTATTTTTCTTTGCAATAAATAATTTCTATATAATTTCTATATAATTCTATATAATTTGTATTTTTTAGTGCTCAGGAGTACAATAGTTTGATGGAGCAGCCAAGAGAAAAGAGATGAGAAAAATTGGCAATTTAGGCTGATGGCATTTTTCCTCTTCTGTTAAAAAAAAAAAAAGTGCATCCAGCAAAGTTCTTTTTCCTGTGAGGTAACCAACACCAACCAGCCTAGTCCTCCACGTCTATGCAAACCCTTTGAGGGGTTTAAAGGATCCTTTGAGGATTGCAGGAAAATAAACAAGCCTCAGTCAATGGATAGTCTAACCGCAGTTAGTGAAGTAGACAAGCAGGTGAAACCACTCAGTCCAGGTTCCAAAAACATGTTTTGAAGGAAAAAGCTGCTTACAGCTACTTAAGTGCCTCCATTATTATTGGCATCACCGACTTCGCAGTAACATGTTCCTTCTCACCTTGATTTATGCTACATTTTAGCAAATATCAAACGAGAGACAAAGACGACCAAAACACCTGACCACGGCGCAGGCTCACAGCCAATAATACTTCAAATTCTAGCTCATCTGGAAATCTGGAAGATTCCAGGTTGCTTTACCATAAGCACATCAAATCACAGAACACCGAATGTTTCCTACCGGTGGGAACAAAGCAGATCAAGTAAATGAATCTTGTTCTTGAAAGGGAACCAGGAGAATGTACCATGTGCTTCTCTGGACTGTGACATTTTACAGACAAGAATTCCTGTAAAACTTGAAGTTCTCAAGGCGGAGAGGAAAGACAGCCTCATCATCAGAGCCGGGACTCTGTGAAGGGCGTCCGTCCGTCCGTCCATCCGCTGTAGGGAATGCGTTGGTAGGTCCATTAAAACCCACCTTCAAATGGAGAGCCGCTAAGCCTCATTCCAATCATGAAATGGGCAAAAGACATGAACGGAAATCTCATTACGTAGCTATTAACAGGAAGTGACACATCCTTTGTTTACTCTTATATTCTTGCCCAATAGGGTAGAGGGAGGAAAATATATTCATTATTAGATCATCTGGCGTCAACAAAGAGCAGGGAAGCTACACCCTTTCCCAAAGACTCCTGACAACAAAGAACACACCAGCAACAACCAACCCAGAGCCAAGTGTCCCAATGTGACAAGTGAGCTCTGCTCCACCCGGTGTCTGTGAAGAACTGGGAGAAAGGTGTGCAAGAGGGGCTGCTGGCCAGGTCAGAGCAAGCTGCCCTCAGCTGAGCGGGGGACAAAGTAGGTAGGAAACATCTAGAATCCGTAAAGACGAACTCACCTTTGGACACCTGAAAAATCCTGTTACATGTGAAGAGTGGCCCTGGCATTGGAGACAGAGGATACAAGCCATAATGGTCTAGCACCCCAAGAGGCGGCCGTACGATGAATAGGGATGGTGATACTGAAGCAATTATGCAGACTGTGCGTTTCATGTAATTATCTCACTTAAATTCTCATTGTGGCCTTACACAGCGGAGAACTATTCCTATTTCGCAAATAAGTAAACCAAGTCTTAAAGGGGTTTAGTCACGTCCTTAAGCTGGAACTTGAACCCAAGTCAACTTGAAGCCACAGCCATGGTTTGAACCTTTGTCCTTAGGTCTCCTGGCTTTTGTCTTAATCTCGCATTTTAGCTACAAGGACACGATTTTTAGTTATATCTGAACAGCAGGGACTGACCGCTTGCCAACAGGATCTTAAGGTTCCTATTAGTTTGATAAACTTTTGTAGCTACCTGCAACGTTGAGACATTTATAGATGTCACTTCTTCACCTGGCTTGGAGCAAAATGAAAGCATTCACACTGTTAAAAATGAATGAAAAGGTATTTGAAAATAGGCTTTAAAAACCAGAAAATACTATTAATGAGAAAGGAAGAGAGGCGGGAAGAAGGGAAGGGGGAGAAAGGGGAGGGGAGGGAATTCAATACAATAAGAGGACTGCAGTTGAACTGTCCTAAAGTGAAGGAGAAACACCTTCAAGAGACAGAGAAAATTCTTCCAAGTGCCCCAGGCTAGAGGGCCAAAGGTCTCGTCGGCCTGGTTTTCACGCGGAACTCTCCAATCCCATGAAAAAGTAGCACAAAATTGTAATATTCTCTCCATAGTTTACCATGTAGTGTGTTTGCTGTTACTCAAGTCTAGACAAACAAAATGAGAAATTGCCTTTACATTGTTCTTTTCCTTCTTTTCCTTCTTTCCTTCTAAGACCCACTGGCTTAAGTCTAGTTGACCTACATCAAGTGCTTAGGACTAGTAGTGAGATTCTAAGTGATTTATGACCATCCCACTTAGTCCTCACAATACCCTTTTTTATCATGCTCCATTTTGCAGATGAGCTCACAGAGCTGTCCCATTGTTAGGTGAATGCCCAGGCCAGGATCCCAACCCAACAGGCAGACAATTCACTGTAGGGACCCCTTCCCTTGGGTCCAGGCAAGCAGCATTATGCAGATTATTTTACGGATGACCAGGGCTACTCAATTATTGCTCCCCAACCAAGATGTGGTACAAGTGCTTTGAAAATATCACCATAGACACACATGGACCAAACACCAAGAAAGCATGTCCCTAGCCTTAAATTAATTGTCTTCTCAAAGTATAGATAGACAACGGTACTCCGAGAACCCTCAGTGTAAGAAAATGCAAATTGACACAACGGAAAACCTTGAAGAGAACTATTGCACCATCAAGACTCTTGGATTTAGTAAAAGCATAAACAACAGACTTAAAGCTCACTAGGCATGGTCATTTTCTGAGCTTGCCTTCGAGATAAAAATACAACAGAAACAGAGAAAACTGTTTCTTTCACAGAGTCTCCTCCCATTTCACATTATAGTACCAATATCTATGCAGTCTGAAAGCTGTAACAAAAATTTTAAACCCGTAAACAAAAAACAAATATAACTTCTCAAAATAACGTCAGTAAAACTGGGGAAAGAAGCTGGATCTCCTCAAATGATTTCAGTCGGGCCCCATGAAGAGGAGCACGCATCCCTCCTAGACGTGCTGTTGTAAAGACGTTTTCATCCTCAACCCACTTCCCTGAGCTTGAGAAAACAAGTTTCCTAAGAGAAGTCTGGCAATTTTTCAAAGCTGACTTCTTACTCCTTCCTCTTCATAAAAACCATGAGGTCAAAACATCAATGAACTTCAAACTCTGATTTCACCTTTTCAAGAAATGCTCAAAGCCTCCGCCTTGGGATTCACACATGTAAACACCTTACTGAGCTTGTTTTCCGTCTAGCACCAAACAGAAAAACACACGATCAGAATCTTTTTCCAAGTCTCATATAAAACTTTTCTATTTTCTTATTTTAATTACATGATCAGTCATGAACTCTCCACATATCTTTCTTTGCTTATTTAAAATCATTTTTTAAATTATTATTTTAAATTACTCTAAAAACTTTCTACGAAACTAACATGAATACTAAACCGATACATTATTTCTTATAATCCAACCAGTGTTTCTTTTTTTTTCAATAATAAATTTATTTTTTATTGGTGTTCAATTTGCCAACATACAGAATAACACCCAGTGCTCATCCAACCAGTGTTTCTAAGATAAATAGGCAAAGCCTATTCTAAAACACAGCACCACTGTCCGTCTCTGAAAGTAGGATGGATTTCCCACTTTTAGGCACTCCATCTTTCCATACCGAAAAGAAAAAAAAAAAAGCATTCCCTCTGTGAAAGCACAAAATCTCTTTTCTTAAGCCAAAATCAACACCCTCTCCATTTCCCTATGACCCCACCTCCTAATTATTTCAAAAAACAATCCAACTTAATGATACCGAGGTAAGTAGGAGGGACTTACAGTTGAAGATGCCAGGAGGTGGGTGCTCAGTCACCAAGAGGCAGTTTTCTTCATCACTGTTGTCCCCACAGTCATTCTGTTGGTTACAGACCAGTGAACCAAGATACAAGCATTTCCCGCTGGTGCAGGTGAATTTGCACTCTGAAAAAGGACAATAGAGAGCATAAAGTAGGTGATGCAAGCTCCATGCTCTTCAGTTGGTTTCCTTTTCCTTCCCCATTTGCGTGCCATGGTAGTTTGGGAAATGGGTCTGCATGCAGATCCCCAAAAAACTGAATTCAGAGAGGGCTATCTATGATGAAATACGCATGACAGCGTCCAGGGGAGCTCTGGGCCTGCTAGACATTACTTGCCCGCGGTCGTTGACCCACAAAACTAGTAACATAGGTGCTTTCTTTCCACAACCTGCCCCGCAAAGTCAGAGATAGGGGTTCCTATGTTGCTTGAAAACATCTGTCGCAGTTTTCCAAGCCTCCAAGACTGTGGGGAGCCTCAGAAGCCAGCAGAACTTGAGATCTCAAGCTTAACAAAAGGAGGCTCACATATTTTATTTCCAACTGTCACTGGATGTCGTGAAGTTCAGGGCAAAATATTTAGCCTCTCTGGTATTCATTCATCTCGTGCCTAAGAAACACCAATTTTAATAGTAGGCAGGGGTAGCACTGATTTTATAATGTAAAACGTAGGAAAATTAGGGATGCCTGGGTGGCTCAGTGGTTGAGCGTCTGTCTTTGGCTTAGGTCATGACCCCGGATCCTGGGATCGAATCCCACATCGGGCTCCCTGCATGGAGCCTGCTTCTCCCTCTGCCTGTGTCTCTGCCTCTCTCTGTCTCTCATGAATAAATAAATAAATAACATCTTAAAAAAATAGGAAAATAATGTGTGTTCTCTGCTACCTGAGAAACATATGTGCCAAGGGCCATGTGAGTAACTTAAAGACTATGAAGCCCAGCCCAAATCTCTGTAGGCCACACTGAACATGGGATCCCTGAAATCCCCACAAACCAATATATGAAACTGGAATATATACTTTTATAAGACTTTGAAATAAATTTGCAAACTTAACACATTAGTGTCAATATAAACATTTAAGGATAATGGAAATTACACAATCATATACACACGGGCACAGAAATAGCTATGTATGTCTTACATTAAATATCACCTCACATTCTGACTATGAGCTTTCTCCTAGGAGCACCCACAAAAGCCAGCAGAACTCTTACGCTATGTACGAGTCAGTGGGTAGAAAACAAAACCTCTGGAAAAGCATCCCAGACCCCCGCTCATGTTGACTATCACACCCTCTTCATTTCTCCCCTATTTCATCTGTCTAGAACATGGGTGGCAGGCCTGGATCAAATCCAAGGTCCCTTCAACTCTAAAATTCCATTATTAAAATAAAAGACTGGGCATCAGCACACCGAGGCCTCCTCCAGCTACGCTAACAACAAAGAGGGCTGCAAAGAGAATACCCCCTTTACCTGTTGCAAAGAGACAGAACGTAAATCCTCAAAGTATTTCCGCGACCCAGTATGAAAGAGATACTAGAGTTCCCCCATGTGTTTGCATTTTCCTAAAAGAGCCTAGAAGATGCCAGCCCACCCCTTGACCTAGTTTAGAACAGCAGGTGAACAAAGCCCAAACAAGTTCTTCACTGGCCACAGTGTCCAGGTTAAAAAAATTTGTGCACTAAATGTGATCCAGGCCACGTGGTAGGAACATTGCTGATGCCAAGTGCTCTTCCCATAAGGTACAAATGTTAAAACCCAGCTGTTTGAAATCACATTTATGAAGGGGCTTTTAACTTAATGGAAAAAAAGGATGTGAAGAAAATAATTTATCTTTCTTCCCAAAAGAATTATTAGAGTTCAGATTAATACCAAATATGAAAAGGACATTAGCCAAAAACAGGCTGATGATGTTGAAATGGTAATTGGAATAAAGGGAATGTTAACCTAAACTGAATTAAACTCCAACTAAAGGATTAACCATTGCTGTTAGACTTCCATGTTCCAGGTCATGTGGAACCTTAAACCGACAAGAACACGGAACCACACCCACACTTCACTCATGTCGACTTATTCAAGCGAGGCCCAGTCCAGAGAACAAAATGTTTTCAAGGAAATGAATTATGTGATTCATTCATTTATATCATCAATATTTTAGCCCCTTCTCTGTTATGTGCCAGGTATTAAGACATGGAAACACAGAGATGAAAGAGCAAGTCCTCTTCCAAGGGCTTACAACATGAATTTTTTTTTTTAATAATGTGAGAAGTGACCCATAGATTTCCAAGGACTTATCTTCTTTCTTTATATCCTTCACATCTAGGGTGCTGCCCAGCAAGTAAAAGGCACTCTGTGAATCACATATTTGTTGAATAAATGAATGGTCTAATCTAAGCCTCCTAAGAACTCTACGAAATAATTAGGGTAGACATTCCCATTTCATTAGATAAGGAGATTAAGACTCAGAGATCAAGCTGACTTGCCCATAATTAAACTTCTAACAAACAGCAAAATCCAGATGTGTGTCCAAATCTGCTACCTCTGGTCTTCGGCTCTCTCCAGAGCTGCTTCTCAGTTTCTCTCCAAGTCTGCTTTCATGACTGTGTAAGGTTCACTCGTAATGAGGATGCCCACAAATGTAACAAGGTTCCCAAAGCAGTGTTTTCTTACATAGGCTTAACCATTACTCAGGATGCATTTAACGAGGCTTTTGCAGATTTGCTTAGAAAGTTCTCACTTCTTAGATGATGCAAACATCAATATCAACCCACAGAATTTCAAAATCAAAAAATCTAAATCTTCTCAATGTTGAGTCATTAGCTAGATATCCAACCAAAGGCCTTTCCGTCACATGGCCACTTGAATCAAAACAACTAGATTGAAATTTGGAATCTCTTGACTTCCGGATGTGATCTAGAAAATACTAGAAAATTGCTATGATGCTATTAAGTGTTAAAGATTAATGCTAAGGCTGGAATGAAATTGCTATGTAAAACATCTGTCTAAAGTGACGTAACTGGGATCAACAGAGGCAAGCTTTTTAAAATTTATTTAAATTCAATTTAATTAACATATAGTATATTGTTCATTTCAGAGGTGGAACTTAGCAACTCATCAGTTGCTCATAATAACCAGTGCTCATTCCATCAAGTGAGAGGCAGGGTTTCTTTTTCTTTTTTTTTTTTAATTTATTTTTTATTGGTGTTCAATTTGCCAACATATAGAATAACACCCAGTGCTCATCCCATCAAGTGCACCCCTCAGTGCCCGCCACCCAGTCACCCCCAGCCCCCACCCAAAGAGGCAGGGTTTCAACTGGATCCTGACTTACAAGGCCGTCTCCACCATACGTTGCTATCCAAAACTCCCGTGTGTACAGATATTAGTGAGTAGTCTGCTAATAACCAGTTTCTTTTGATATTTGAAACTAAGAACCCTAGATGCGATGCTCTGACTTTAGCTGTGCATCTTTCAACATTTCTGATGTCTGAGCCCCAGCCCGGGGAGTTGGTCTTGATGGTCCAAGGTGCAGACTGGGCAGTGGTTGTCACTACAGATCCTCAGAATGACTCTGATGAGCAGCCAGGATGAAGGGCCACTGCCTGAGAACGTTAAGCCCCCTTTTTCACTAATAGTATTTTATTACAATATTTAGTTGGTACTTGCTAATCTACTAAAAACTTCTCTCTTAAAATACGTATTTGGATGATTCCTGGATATTAAGGTCCGGTTGCTAAAACTCTGTCCTGCCAAATGGGTATTTCAGAAGATCTGGAACACAGGTGTGAGTGACCCCCAAACTACATACTGACCCACTAACGACAGAAAACATCCTCAATGAAATAAAACTCAAGAGAGAAAGAAGATAGAAGAATAAAAATAATGTTTTCTTACTATATTTCATTCATTCTTTATGGAACTTGTTGGGTATTTCTGCCAATTCTGAAGTTGAAGGATATCAAAGATTGTTTAAACATTGGAAATATTTTGGCTACAAATTCATGGTGATTTCAGATGTGTAATACTGGAACGGAATACAAAAAGAACAACGCGGGAACTTATTAGTTTTTCCTTCAGGAGCTATTGACATGATTTCAAAATCTGTAATACTTAAATAATCCCTCTTCTTTAAAGTCGGGACTTTTTAAATGAAGAAAATGGTATCCCATTCTGCCATAACTCTGTTTCTTATGAAAAAAATGTTCAGAACTGCTAAAAGATTTTAGAATCACTTTACATATATACTCTTAGTAATATAGCATCTTCTCCAAACTTAAGGGCTTCTGTAGTTTCTCTACGTTCCTACATAAAGCTTTCTGATGATTTTGTGACTTTGAATTGTCACAGCTTCATAACATACTAATGCTGAGACGGCCCTGGAGACACAGTGGCCCAACCTCTCAAGTCACAGATGATGAAATAATCCAAAGAGAATTCCTGACTTACCCAGAGTCAAAAAATGAAATCCTTGTAATGGAACATAAAGCCCAAGATTTCTATCAAATTGAGGGGAAATTATTTTTTTTGTACTAAATATCATTCTAATTATATACAAACTAATAACCAGTTGGAGCATACCATGTGAGAGAGGAAAAAAGGAAAAGAATGATTCTATGAATCCCAAACTTACATACAAAAAACCCCCCACTATAGTAAAAACAAATTAGGGGGCACGTCGAACTAGTTCGGTTAGTACAGCATGCAACTCTTGGTCTCGGAGTCATAAGTTTGAGCCAAACATTGGCCATGGAGCCTATTTTAAAAAAGGTTTTTTTAAGGACCAGTAGCTTACCAATTTTATACTTTACACCTAAACTTGGACAAGCTTCAAAGATAAATGCTCAATCTTGAATTCCAGGAGGACAAACTTGTATCTCAGAGATGAAAGTTAATCCACTTGGTAGAGTCAACATTCTATTAGTTAAAAGACAACAAAAAGCACTTGAAAGGTGCTAAGAGAGAACAGATCTAATATGTTCTCACCCCAAAAAAGGAAGTAATCAGGTGACCTGACCCGGGTGGTTAGCTAATGTGATAGCAGTCATCATTTTGCAATACATAAGTGTATCGAATTAACATGTTGTACACATAAACTCTTATGATATGTCAATCATGTCTCAATAAAGCT